CAGAGAAAGAGAGATAGTGCCTCGGGCGTCTGCCCTGTGCAGCCATGCTTTCCAACCTGTGGCTCCAAGGACCTTTTGGCTAGTTACCTAGCTCATAGACCTGCGTGTAAGGGGTCTGGTGACCCAGCCTGGCGTATGAAGGGTTTGTGACCCAGTCTGTGAATGGGCTTGAGGGGTCTGGGAGCTCAAGACCCAGCCCTAGTGCAACAATTGACTCAGTCAGGGCAGGATTACCGGCAGGTAAAAGAGCCCAACAACTAGCATGGTCGTGTTGCTAGACAATTGGCATCATGAACAGGATTAAGAGTGCTACAATTGGCGCTGTTGACAGGATTCCAGACATTACCTGTAGCCTTAGCAGTAGCTTTACAATATGTATCAACAGAGTTCATCCTCACAACCATCACATGAGGTAGCACTGTTATCCTCCCCATTTTACAGAGGTGGCAGCCAAGGCCCAAGATCACACAGGTAGAGGTAAGTGGTAGGATTGGGATGTGAACTGTAAAACCATATGGCCTCAGACTTAGATCTGTTCTTCAGTATACCAGAGGGTTTCCAAGTATATTTTTCTCTTTCTAAGAAGCAGAACCCATTTCCGAAGTAAGATCTTCTGAGGAATCCCACAAAAAAAGGGGAGTGGCTCTGGCTGAAGGGCAGGTGGGCCTGCAGTGCCACGCCTCCTATCGTGGTGGCCCTGCAAGCATCCGCCCTGACAGCAAGTCGAGGCTTGCTTTAGAGCTGGCTCCATCTACATCCTCATCCCTGCCAGTGGCTGCATCCCCCTTATGCTTTGCAATTTAAAAGGAAGGGCTTCCCCTAGAATTTCCCCAGAGGCCTGTAAGGTTTGTTCTCATCTTCGTGTTTGTCTGGGGAGACCCCGCACTGCTGCCTCCATCTCCTTCCTCCTGCACACCCTCTCAGCACAGAGCGTGGACCTCCTCTCATCTTGCCTTGTACAAGCGTGCGTGGCTCCCACGTCCCGGGAGCTGTGTGCTTACATGTCACTCACTCACTCATTCATTCAATTATCCACTTATCCAACTAACCTTCATCGGAAACCAGGAAAACAATGAACCTGCCTCAAATTGCTCACAGCCTAGAGGGAAGTGAGACAGGCAAGTGGCTGTTCTAATCTCATGTAATATGTGCTCACAGGTAGTCCAGATGCCCTGAGAGTGTGGATAGAGGGGGTTTGAGTCTGAAGTATGTCAGTGACGATGGGACAATTTGGGAGAAGTCAGAAGAGGGGATGAGGTGGGATTAGATAAGAGGTTAACAGGTTCCCCACACTGGGCATGAATGTTCCAAGCAAAAGAAAAAGAGAAAAATCATGGCACTTTGGGAATTCCTGGTAGTTTAGGAACAACACATGCTTCTGTGTTGCTTGAACAGAAAGTGGGGCTGGGTGACTGGCTGGGGTACAAGGTGAGGTTGAAGAGAGAGACAGGAACCAGAGCATGAACCCAAAGGACCGTGTGCAAGACTGAAACATTTACATCTTGTCCTATAGTGGATGAGTAGCCAGGAGAGGATTTAGAGAGCCCTTGAGTGATGATCAGACCACAATTATCACATAACGTAATCGTGCCATGAGGTCTGAAGGCTGAAGGCTCATTCTCCACTCCTCCACTATCACAGAAACCAGGAACACTGCAGCGATAGCCTGAACATCTAGGAAGCTTTAGTGAACCAGTTCCCACCCTCTGTGAGCTACGCACACCGTGGCCTGCGCCAGACACTGCGTGCTGGTTAACGAGAGGTGTGCAGGTGGGAGGACAGAGCTGCCCTGGGGGGACGGGGCCCGCCATGTCTCCTCTCGGCTCCTGCAGCTCTGTTTGCCGTCGCCTCTCCTCCTTCCACGTGCTACTAGTGAAATGCAACAGCAGGTCTGGGGCCGAGGTGGAGGCCAATTTAGGAGGTTTGGTGGTGTCCTCTTGGTGAACACTTCAAAGTAGGATTAGACAATAGAAAAACCCAGACCTTTAGCTTCATTGAAAACTGCAGATAACAAGGATAATATCGGCAGGAGGCTCATCTACGTCTAGCACCTTCAGACACACTGTATCACTTGAGCCACACCACCCCCAACTCACACATTAAAGAAACAGGGTCAGTTTGCAAGATCAGGCCAATAAAGGTACATGATGCCCAGTTAAATTTGAATTTCAGATAGATAGCAAATACTGTTAGTATAAGTATGTCCCAAGTGGACAGACATATTATCTGGAACCCAAATTTAGCTGGTTATTCTGTATTTTATCTGGCAATATTGAAATAGGATAGACAAGAGTTTCCATTTGACAAACGGGACATGCTGGACCAGAAAAATAGGAAGTAACAATTCAGACAAATACTTCCCGAGAGGTAACTCGAGAACTACAAGTTACTTCAAAAAGTTTTTGGAAGGATTTGTATTCTTTTTTTATTTTTATTTTTTGGTGGCTTGTTGGTATGGGGATCCAAACCCTTGACCTTAGTGTTATCAGCACCATGCTCTTACCAAGTGTGCTAACCAGCCAGTCCTTATCTTTTAATTCTATTTTTCCATGACCTTTTTGAAATCCCTCACCTTTGTTGAAGACTAATTTAGATGCTTGGACACATGGGCTCTGCTGTCAAGTTTCTCTGTGCAGCAAGAGGGAAAAGTGCAGACATATACAGACTATTACTGTGCAGTGTAATTGACACATCACCTGCTGCCATAGAAAGAACCAGCGGGTGGGATTCGACGGGAGCCCACAGGAAAGACACTTCACGCAGCCTGGGAGTGCAGGGGAGCTTTCTGGAGGAGGGGATGTCAAGCTAGTCTTGACTGACAAGTATGAGTTTACCAGGAGGAGAAAGCTGAGAGTATTGCTGGCAGAGGGCTCGTTACCAGCAGGAGAAGAAAGTTGGAATATTATCAGCAGAGCATGTGCCACATGCCAAGAGGGGGCCTGGAAGATGCAGGTGGAAGGAGAAGGGCTGAAGGGCAGTCAGATGGCCACAGAGGCCTTCCTGTGCCATTGCGCTAGGCCTCATGTCTGCTTCTTTGCTCTTGCCCTCCCAGGTATGGGGCAGAGCCTGTGCGAGAGGCTGCTGTGTGCCTGTGATCAGACGGTGGCCGAGTGCATGGCCTCGGCCTTCTTTAACCAAAGCCTCAAGTCACCAGGGCAACAGGAGTGCCAGGGCAAGCAGCTGTCGTGCGAGGACAGCGTGCGTGCAGGGCCCGCAGCCTCTCCCCTTGGCTCCAGCTCTGAGGAGAACAGCGAGGAGGCTCTGCCCCACTCAGGGGGCCTGAGAAGAGCCAGAAGATTTCTGGGGAGGTCACTTGGTCCCTTGGGGACCAGGCTAAACATGGAAGAAAGATTCCCAGAGAAAATGGCCAGCACACCCTATAGTTCTGCTTCTCCTCTGCCTTAACCTCTTTGGTCCCCAGTCTCCCCTCTGTCCACTGCAGCCTTAGCAGAGGCCCAAAGGGAAGGGAGGCACAAGGCACCGTGCACTTTCTCGGCTCGCACGTGAATGTGCTTTCAGAGAAGGCAGACGACGGGTACTTCTCTACTTCTTGTAGTGCACTGTGGAAACAATAAATATTCCAATCAACGTGTTCTGTTTGTTTTGTTTTTAAGAAGTGTTTAGTTGTAGACACTGTGCATGAGTAGGTTCTAAAGGTGAGATGACAGAGACAATGGGGGAAAAATATCTCAACCTCCTAACTTCCAAAAGCTACTTTTTATTTTACTAAAAAAAAAATAGCAAGGAGTATATTTAATCAATCTCCTGAAACCACCTGTGGGCTACTACTAACCCACCAATAATGTACGCCAAAGACTGAGATGGCAGCTGGTCTGGTATGTGCCCTAAAAATACACTTGACATCCTAGCCATTAAGAGAGTGGCCATGTGCCAAGAGGAATCACTGATCACCCTCTCCTGAGTCCTAGACTTGATTTTTTTAAAAATATGGTTTATCTCAGTGGCTGGAAGTTTGGGGGATGCAAATGCCCACTTTGACAAAGGCAGTTTAATATTATGGTGATTGTGAAAAACTACAATTCCATCCATCCATCCATCCACACACTCATGCTCCCAATAGTTACTGAGATTTCTGTGTATTGGGTGAAAGACAGTGAGCTACAAGAACCCCCCTTAATATTCAATGAGGGCACAAACTCTGGTTCACATCACATCTGTGGTTCTCAAGTCCCATAAATCATGTGTCCTGTAGTGAGATGATACTCAGCTTCTGCCTGCTCCTCCACCAGACAGGAGAGCAGAGCTTCTAAAGAGTTCAGTGCTTGGCTGATTTTTTCATGGCATGAAAATATTCTGAAGTTGGTAACACCTTAAGAAATCAAAAAGCCATGGTGCCACGCCAACAGCTGATACCCTTCCACACCTTTTAGGGAAATAATGTGATGAGAATCTTTTGACAAATCTTTTCAACAATGCAACCTTAATTAACAGCCTCCTATTGGGTTCTCCCAGAAGTGGGCTCTTATACAAGGCCTTGAGGGCAAATAGTTTATTTGGGAGGTGTAAGAAACACTGTGAGGAGAGTGGAGAAACGAGACAGGACAGAAAAGGCAGCCAATTAGGGTGTGTTATCAAGCCACTTACGACTGTGGGTGACTAGAGCACATCCCACCAGAGGACTCTGGGAGCCACAGGAGAACACGCACCCACAGAGATCAACTTCCATCAGCCATTACTCTTGGGAAGGGTGATATTTCCTGCTGCCCTACTGCACAGTGGTGGCAAAGTGGGCTCCAGTGTCCAGAAAAAAAGCCTTTAAGAAACGCAGGTGCTGACAGTTGGCAATCAGCCAACATGCACTAAAACTGCAAGGGCCAGAGCTTGCAGGCCGGCTCCTCCTTCCCTTCAATCAAGCAGAAATGTACTAGGGGTCCACTCCCCATGGCAGTCACTGTGCTAGACCAGCCACACCATGGCGACCATCTGCCTTCGCTACGTCTTCACCTGAGGCGGCTGAATGTTGCTGGAGGAAAAAATGCAACTGAGCTGACCCATTTCACTTAATACCCATGGCCACAAAAACTCAAGCAGATGTTCAACCTTTTCTTAATAAGTTGACTTTTCTGCTCTCCAAGACAATTGTTTTGTATCTCCTCTTCCCTTCTCAAACCTCTCACACTTCCCCCTCACTCTCAGTGGATGACCGTCAAAAACCATGAGTTCTGAGATTTTACCTTATTTTTAACGTAACAAGTTAGTCTGAATTTCATGGATGCTGGCAGAAGACATGAGACTCCTGGTCAGAGACAAAGGACTTTATTACTTACAGCAATAGCAGTAACCTGAGAGTCAGCATTTACGTTGCTTCCCCAAGCCCTGAAGGCAATGAAGAGAGGGCCAGGAGATACCTACACATGCAGCAGTTTTTTATTACACAGGAGAACCCTGGATTTAGGGAACCTGGACAATTTGTACTGGACTGTAAGCCTGCCTGACCTTTATCCCACAAGGAGACATTATCTTTATCACGCAGGACAATAAGTACATCTGCCTTTGACTCTACATTCTGCTCCATATATTACCCCATTTCATCATTCATCCTCTCAAGACTTCTCAAAAAACTGGCTACATACACTCCCTGTCCCCCTTTCTAACAGACACCATCACTTAACAAAAACTGCTCCAGTCAAAGTCCCAAATGATCTCCATGTTGCTTAAACCACTGGTCCCATGCTTGCTCTCATTTTAATCTTCCCGCATTATTCTACAGCTAACCACTTCTTCTTTCTTGAATATTTTTCTCTTATCCACAATGACCACTCACTCCCCTAGTTTTCGTCCTCCTTTTTGGTTACTCATCCTCAGTTACCTTCGCTTATTTCTCCTTCTTTAGCTGCCCTCTAAATGTTGTATACCTTAGGATTCAGTCCTAGACGTTGCTAAAGAAAAATTTTGCCCTAGACACTTGTAAAAATGGCAAGACAGGTTTTATTCAGTACTACTGCAGTGGGAGAGAGACCTCAGTGCAACCTGAGCTCAACTCTGCCTAAACGAATGGCAGGGCCTTTTCTTCCCCCCAATATACAATATTTTAAATTATCATCCCCATGCTGTATATTAGATCTCCAAAACTTTACTGTCTTGTGTGACCGAAACTACATACCCTTCAAGCAACATCACTCCATTCTTTCCTCCTTCCAGCCCTTGGCAGCATCCTACTGTCTGCTGCTATGAGTCTGACTGTTTTATTTTTATTTTTTTCCTTTTTGTCTTTTTCCGTGTCCGGCAACGGATCGCAACCCTCAGTGTCGCCCCCGTACCGGACCGGGACCGGCAACGGGATCGCAACCCTCGGTGTTGCTCCCATGCCTCGCTCAACCAGTGAGCGGGAACCGGTCTGTATGTGGGATCCGAACCCTCGGCGGGAGCACCACCACGCTCCCAAGTGGCGCACTATAGCAGTGCGCCACCGGGCCGGCCCGAGTCTGACTGTTTTAGACTTCATATATAAGATCATGTAGTACCTTTTCTTTCTGTGTCTGGCTTATATCACTCAGCATAATGCCATCCAGCTCCATCAGTGTTGTCATAATTGGCAGGATTTCCTTCTTTTTTAATGCTGAATAATTTTCCATTACATATATATGTGCCACATTTTCTTTATTCTTTCTTCTGTCAAAAGACATTTGTTTCCATATCTTGGCTATTGTGAATAATGCTGCAAAGAACATGGAGTGCTGATATCCCTTTGAGATACTGTTTTAATTCCTTTGTGCATATACTCAGAAGTGAGAGTGCTAAATTACATAGTTCTATTTTTAAATTTTTTTTTTTTTTTTTTTAAAGATGACCGGTAAGGGGATCTTAACCCTTGACTTGGTGTTGTCAGCACCACGCTCACCCAGTGAGCAAACCGGCCATCCCTATATGGGATCCGAACCCATGGCCTTGGTGTTATCAGCACCGCACTCTACCGAGTGAGCCACGGGCCGGCCCCTATTTTTAATTTTTTGAGAAATTTCTATACTGATTTCCAACAGTGTGTAGTAGGGGTCATCTTTCTTTACACCCTTGTCAACACTTTTCTTTTGTCTTTTCAATAACAGCCTTCCTAACAGGTGTAAGGTATGTCTCACTGTGGTTTTGATTTGCATTTCCCTGATGATTAAAGATGTTGAGCAACTTTTCATGGGCATGTTGGCCATCTAAATTTTTTCTTTTGGGAAGTGTCTGTTTAGGTCCCTTGCCTATTTTTTAATTGGGTTATCTGTATTTTTGGTATTGAGTCGTAGGAGTTCCTTACGCATTTTGGATATTAACCCCTTATTGAATATTCGGTTTGCAAATATTTTCTACCATTATAGGTTGCCTTTCACTCTGTTGTTTCCTTTGCTTTGCAGAAGCTTTTTAGTTTGACGTGGTTCCACTTATTTTTGCTTTTGTTGCCTGTGCTTTTGGGATTACACCCAAAAAATTATTGCCAAGACCAATGTCAAGAAGGTTTTCCCCTATGTTTTCTAGTAGTTTTATAGGGTCAAGTGTTGATTAAAATGATCGGAGATGCGAAGGAAGACGCAGCAGACGAGATGCAGGTGAAGAGTGGGGGGCTACTGCTCTCTCAGGCAAGTAGCACCGACCCAGCCGCTGTTACAGCTTTTATTACATTTAGCAAGCTAGTGCATGCAAGATAAGCATTAATGCATAAATTCTGCTATACTAGTCTCAAGAGCAGAAGGCCGTTACCTCCCTTCTGAAGCACTTGGTTATCTATATTGTGTCTCCTGGGAACATCCCAAGAAAGTGTTCTCACGACTTCCAGCGTTGCCAAGGATTGTCTGCAATCCTTGACATTTCTTGGCTAACTCATTTGCGAGTTCACCAAGTGAACATGTCCTTGGGTGCTGTCCACAGAAGTCCATTAACCATTTCCTTCAGTCAAGTTTTATGTTTAAGACTTTAGTACATTTTTAGTTGATTTTTGTGGTTCTATACAAATTTTAGGAGTTCGTTTCTGTAAAAAATGCCATTGGGATTTTGATAATGATTGCACTGAATCTGTAGCTCACTTTGGATCATATGGATATTCTAACAATATTAATTCTTCCAATCCATTTCCATTTGTGTCTTTTTAATTTCCTTTATCAATGTCTTATAATTTTTATTACACAGGTCTTTCATCTCTGTTTAATTCCTAAGTGTTTTATTTTTTGTTGCTAATGTAAACGGGACTTTTTCTTAATTTCCCTTTCAGATAGTTGTTGGCTGCAGTGTACTAAAGGAAAGGTACTGAAGGACATTAAGGGAGTTGGCCTATATGATTAGGCCATCTGGGTTTGTTAATTGGTGCTTATCTGGAGCAGAAACAAACTTCTCATATTTTTAGGACAGTAGGTAGTTTTGCAAATTGGAGCCCAGTGCCCACCAAAATATCTCCCTGGATGTTT